ACATTGGATCTGTACAACAAACGAGGAGACAACAAACACACATATAACAAAGAAGACCGTTAATTGACTAGTTTACATTCGCAATATACACATGAATATATCACAAACACAGACCTTCTTGAATGTTAGCAGGACTCGTGGACATGTCCCCTTGTTGTACTAATGGCAGTTGTGTGGGCCGTCGGGACACTAACAGAAGATGTAAAGCATTACGAATAAGTCAGTATAAACTCAAATTAATATGTAGACTCGTACTCTTGTATGAATGTGTTATACCACAAATACTCGAACCGCTGGACCGCTCCTCTCGAACCGGGTTGGGTCTCTTTGGTCGTCTGTACCTGCAAAGCACGCCGGGGGTGGTCCCGGCGTGAACACTCCGACGCTCAAGTCAGTGATGATCTAGAGAGAGAGTAACGAGATAGTTCGTGAATGTGTGTTGTGTAAAATGAATGAACCTGCTCCTTTTTATAGAAGAATTTTGGAGAGTCCCAGTGGGATAAGAAGTCTTTCTTGTGTAAACTACTTAGTTAGGTCAAGATCATCCTGAATTGCAAGAGTCCTTGTCGCCACCAATTCCTTCCTAACTTGATCCCGAAGCTATCTTCAGCTTCTAGCCCCTCCGACGGCATACGAGGGCCGCCGAACACACGAGGGCCGCTAAGCGTGCGAGGGCCGCGGGGCACCTCCCTTGGCCGAGCACTCTCCTACGCCGAACATTCACCCCACGCCGGGCACTCATCATACCGGGCAATGCCGCGCCAGACACTTCATCCCGACCACCTCCAATGCCAGGCACATGAGGGGCGCCGAACATCGTGCGACGCCGAGCACTCCTAACCGCCGACTACCATAATGCTTAGCCGGTCCCCTTCATATTGATAATGATGACCGAATCACAACCGGTTCCTCACGAGCCACTACTAACGACCATATCATCTAGCCCCCCCATTCCTTAGACAAGTTGAACTTGTTGTAAGGAATGTGTTGGTATGGCTCGGATCGGTTAGCTGGACCGGGGGTGCGTGGGCGGAGCCCCCGTGGTATAGGCCGGGGGTGCGGGGGTGGAGCCCCCGCGGTACGGTATGGGGTACCAAAGGACTACGCACCCTAGGTGATACCAACTTTCCCCATGAAGTTGACCTCTTCGCAATACCACGCGTCTGCCAGGCACTCACGCCGAGCACACGAGGAACGCTACCAGGCCGGGCACCGCCACACTGAGCGTCCCATGGCCGAGTGCTCCCATGCCGCGCATCTCATGCCAAGAATTCCGCAGCCGAGCATTCCTATAGCCGAGCACTCCCTTGCCGTGCGTTACTGCCGAGCGCCCCATCACTGCGCGCCGCTGCCGGGCATTCCTCGCCGAAGGCCGGTGAGCCGGGCACTCAAGGATGCCGAGCACCCGCACTACATGCTCCCATGCCGCGCACTCTACGCCAAGCGTCCCAAGGCCGAACGCTTGCAGCGCCGAGCACCCATAACGCCGAGCACTTGTCGCCGAGGCCTGTGAGTCGGGCACCCAAGGGCGCCGAGCACTCGCGCCGCACACTCCAATGCCGTGCACTCTAGGCCGAGCGGTTGCCGAGATGCCGAGCACTTTTCGCCGAGGGCCTGTGAGCTGGGCACCCAAGGGTGCCGAGCACTCTCGCCGCACACTCCCATGCCGTGCACTCTAGGCCGAGCGGTTGCCGAGATGCCGAACACTTGTGGAGGACACCGACCACATCATGGTGCCGGGTGCACCCTTGCCGAGCCAAGCACTCTCGTGCCGAGTGCCGCTACGCCGGGCACTCCCGCGCCGAGTGCCCCGGTGCTGAGGGCCGCTCACTAATCGCCAAACCCGCGCCGGTCCACATGGTACCTCGTCAAGGTGCCCATCTAACATCCTCCATTACCTCCACAATATGCATACTCCTCCTACCCCTCATGGTTGCTTTTTGCTTTTCTCACCTAACTCTTCTCTTCCTCCATCATCCCATCACATGCAACACCAACTACCATATGTCACACTCATCACATGCCTACCTTGAAAACCTCACTTTGCTTCCTCCACAAGTCTCACTCTCCACCATTGATTAATGTTCAAAATCAAGGGTCAAGATCAATCAAGACCAATCCAAACCCTAGCCCCCCATCTATAAATACCTCTCTTCCATTCTCCCATCCATTAATTTGCATCTCACAAAATGTCTCTCCTACATAATTTCTCATTCTACGAAATAAAATACTCAATTTTTAATTGAAATCCGGCGGCCACTCTCCAACGAGCTCGTACTTCCGAGGAACCCATCTAGTCCCGCCTACTACATCAAGCACACGGTCCCTCCACCGAGCTCGCACCACCATAGACCCCGCGCCGAGCACACGCCCCTCTCCCGTCGGAACTACGCCCCACTTGATTATGGCGAGCACACCGGATCGCCGAGCGCGCCGAACACGCACCGAGTACCACTTGACCCCAACGGGCACTCCCTTCCGACGAGCATTCACCCATTCGCACCCCATGGCTGCATCAGCGAGCTTTATGGGTACGCTCTCTTCTTGGAAACACTTTATTTTGTTGAAATTACCCTTGTAATGCACCCCTCTTATTGTATTTGTACTTGTTTGTTGTTGTTGTTTTTTTTTCTGTCATACTCCTCGCATTTTGCCGTTACTCAATTCTCGCACCCCTTTAGAGCAATCCACCCCGCCTAAAAACCGGGACTCCTGCTCAACGAGTACCACTAGTTATACTTTCTCGGGCACCACTAGCTCGTCCTCCACGGACACCACTAGCTCCACGCCTCATTCACCTTCTCTCTCCCCATCCAAGGAGCCTCCTCCCAATACCGTAGCTCTTTCGGACCCAACGACCCCTCTTGACACCAAAGCCAAAATGAATGCCGTCCACTCCCAAACCATGCCAACCAACCCCATCTCTTCATATACGGACACCCAAATAGCCCTCCTTACCAAAAAAATTGAATTACCAAAAGGTTGGGAACTTAGGATCCCTAAGCCCGAGGACTTGTTCGATAGCCCCCAACCCGGTTACCACAGCTTTTATCTTGACCAAGTGAGCGTCGGGCTTAGATTCCCCCTACATCCCGACCTACTCGAGCTAAGCCAAATGTATGGGATGCCTCCGAACCAACTTCCTCCCAACTCGATCCGTCTTCTTGTTAGCTTCATCATGGTGTGTCGAGCCCGCCTCGGCGAATTCGACCCCACCCTATGCTTTTATTGTATTTGTCTTAGGAACCCGAAAAGCGCCCCGTACCTCATGCGCCGTATGTTGGAACCCACGAGGATCTCGATATGCACAAATCACGGACAAACATTCAACATAAACCTATGCGCAGCGGATCTAAAGGTTTGATGAAGAAAACTTACTGCTTAAAATTTATGTAGATCTGGCTGGCCCGGACAGTTGACCGCAAATCAAATCTTCTCGGAATTGGACAAACTTGACCAATCTATAAAGCTGACGTCACGGCGAAGTCAACGGCGTTGACCGGTCGGAAAATGGACTTCACACGTGCTCTCACGCGCGACGAAAAGCTTCAGCGACTGGGACATTCGGGCGGCGCGTGGCGGCGCGTGAGGTGGCGGACGGCGGTGATCTCGACGGCGATCTCTTCGTCTCGTCGTCCTGGTTGTCGTGGTATGGTCACTTGCTGGTTTTGGTCTCCGGTTTGGATGTATGATAAGAATCTCTATATACCTTAAGATATTCTACTGTATTCTCAAACAGCTTTCTAGATCTTGTATCAGTGGAGCACAAGAAATAGAACTACTCCTTGGAAGAGAGAGAAAGAGAGGGAGGCGGACGAAATTTCCAAATTGTGGAATTCTGTTCTCTTCCATGAGCCTAATGCTGTATATATAGAGCTACAGTAGGGACCCTAAGGAGAATAGGATAAGGGCTTCTAATATATTAATACTGTGGAGCAACCCCACAATTAATATATTAATAATATTAAAGTCCACCACAATAATATTATTGCACTCCCCTCACCTATCCCAAATTACATTTGAGACTCCTTATTATAATTATCCGATTTACCTCCCCATGTTTAAGATATAATGTCCATTAATTAATTCGATCACTAATAATCAAGAATTAATTAATATATTATATTACCGAAGCTAGCGCTCGCTCATAGCATTCATATTATGCCGGAATAAATCCACCTGCAGGGTTTAGCATAATATTCATTCATGAACTCACTTCGGGGACATCATCATACTAACGCACATGGTGACCGTAAATATCCTAATAGCACATCGAACACATAATGTTATTACCCAATTCATTAAGTATGTCGACCCGCTTGGATCTCACCCAAAGACTCAAAGCAACAACAATTATGTGCACATGCCTATTTAATATCTTACGGGTTAAGAGCACACAATAATTAACTGAGGCCTAGTTCGTTTACGATTAGTATGAAACGAACATCCCTCTCTGGGATCCTGTTCAATACATAAATGTACTAGTGCAACTAATCGGTCAAGACAAACCTTACGGTTGACACTACAACCGTTCCGATGGGTTGTTCAATTCCATCTAGGTTGTGAACCAACAATTCTTGTTTCGCAAGTAACTGATATAGTGATCTTCGGTACGCCCGATGACGACCCACTTATCTACATGCAAAACAACAGAACGTGGAACTTATTTAACCAAACATAATTCTCATTCATCAAGGAATAACAAGTGTAATATCCACTAAAGCAAAGCTTAAGTATATAACACCAACACCGTACTCGCACCCGCTTCATAGACCAGCCCCAATCGAAGTCACACAATTGGAAAAATAAATACTTCTTCGTGCGTCCCCCTCCCGATACCTTCGAATTCCCGCCCATGGCCCCCAAGCAGGACAAGAACCCGAAGAGAAACGCCACTTACGAGGCCCTCATTGATCAGTGGAATGAGCGCCCCCTTCTCATGATGAAGCTGACTACTAGCGATCAGCTCCTGGGGCACTTTGGGTTGTCCAGACGTGCCGCCGACCCTGTAGATGACATAGGTAGGGCCGGGCACCCCGTGCCGCTATCGGACCCCTTACTTTCTTTTTCACGTTAATCATATGCATATAACTCGTTTACTTATATTTGTATCTTTTGTTTATTTTGCAGAGGAGCTCCTTAAGA